GACAGAAATTTTACGAGTGACATTTGACACGACACTCCTGTTTAATACTTAATACTTTTCGTTTTGCTCAAGTACAATGTCAATGTCAAGTGCCGAGTGGTATTATTTGTTCATTAGCATCATTCATTTGAGGTCGAGGTACAGTCGATAATAGCATGTAGTTTATAAATGCATCCGGTATCCAGAGCTAACAATTTAATGTGTCTCTGCTTACTAGAAGATAACATTCAGTTTATTATGAAAAACTCTTTTTGCATGTATTTTTCATTGCTAATAAAATCAGATGAAAATGTTATTCAGCTGTTGGTAAGTTAAATTCGTTCAACGATATCGATCATTGGCTTACATATAGACAGACGAGCTGGTGCGTTTTGTCGATACAAACTTATTCTCCTGTTTTTTCCTGGATGCTGGTGTAAATATTTTCACATAGCCTGTATCTACCGTTGCCATATCTTTATTGTTTTTGAGAGGAAATAATATGAAACCTATGTAAAATTATGAAAATTGACAAAATTTGCCATTGTTTTATGGCAGGCTAACATCAAATTATGTATGTGACATTTGTTCGGAAAAATTATAATCCATCCAGTTTTAAAGAAGAAAAAGAGAAGACAAGAAATAGAAACACCGATCACGTCTTTTGCTTAGACATCATTATCTATCATTTCTTTTTTTCCCTTACTCTAGTATTTCTGAATGAATTACTACATTTAATTCCTTTTTATAATTTGGAGATTTGGTTATTCGTTTAATAACATAAGTTTAACGCCATGTCAGTCTTTTAGCCTGCATAGCTACAGACTACTTCGTCGGCTCCTGTTTAATGGATAAAATATTCATAATAATTTCCTAACTTGTTCATTAAAGTGCGAGGTGGCTTTTACAATGCGGTATCTAAAGGTTCCGACGTATACGGGAGTTATCTTTAAGGTTTTACCACCAGTGGATCGTGACTATGACCATCCAATCCAAAAAAAAATCTCCAATACTTAGTTGCTGCAACTGTAATTCTAGGCCAAAAATTGTAAAACTACCCACATTAAATGTAAACGCAGAACTATCCTGATTAAGCATGAAGGGGTCTCATTAACTAGGTTTAACTCAGCAACATTAACTCATTAACTCACTAACTCATCTCTCATAAATAGGTATAACAAATTATACAATTTCAAATAAGATAAAATGGGTAATCCGATTATTCGGATAATACGTTAACACTATGTGGACTCAAGATTACAGTTATAGTTCTAACGGGTAGATTCTATACAAGAAGTGATCGTCTCGATAGGAAGATTCAATTCCAGTAAATCAATTATTACTAACCCGTTTCGCATTCCATAATTTCACATAAATCTGTCACTATATGTATTACATAGATGTTATCCCTTCATCGTAAAAGTTGTTTATGAACACCTGCTAACACGTTGACTGCCATGTAGGTCACCGGTGCCCAACGCGGCGCACTGAAGTAATTATTTCGATTTCTGTTTCTAACCGCCTGGATTGCCTAGATTTCTTTTTTTTTGTTAATGTATGCTTTAGTCTTTTAGGCCGCTTAGAAATAGATTAATTTTCAGTATCTTCGGATTCGTCTTACCCAAAGTCTACTAGATATTCCGGCGCTTTAGAAAGATCGAAGAGCGATATCGGCATAATTAGTTCAGTGCGCTGCGTAGGGCACCGGTGAAAGCATGGCAGTCAACGTGCTAAGAACGCTATTTCTTAGAAAAAAATGTTACCTGCTTTCGAGTAAGTAAGTAAATCGGCAGTCGCAACACTAGAAAAAACGAGCTCACTGGGCGTCTTATCTTAAACAAGGACAATTTCGGAACTCATAGGTTTAGTGCTTATGGGCTCTGGAAGCATTGTACGCTAGATGGATCTAGATCACGTCCAAATACAAATAACAGATTAAGCCTTATTTTTTTTAATCACAGACCAACACTTTCGAAATAGGAAATATTATAGATAATTAATACGTGAAGCAAAAACTTTGTACCCCTTTTTACGAAAATTGCGCGGACGGAGGAGTATGAAATTTCCCACACTTATAGAGAATATAGAGAAGGAGTGCACAATGCTAATATTTTTGTAAAATTATGCATAAAAGATACATTAAATCAATAAAGAAAACATTACACACACTACCATGTATTTGACACACACACGCATGCATATTATTTGTTTATTGTCAAAATTTTCTTTGCAGTCTGTCAGTTATTTATTTAAAGGGATTTTATGACCTGGTAACTGAGACCTTTAAGTCATGTCTTATTTTAATTTATATTCATATTTTTATGAAAAATGATATTATAGAGTGAAATGAAATGAAGATGATTAATTTGAGACATTAATCAACTGGGATGAAATTAAGTGAAAAGAAATGAGATGATATGGGATGAAATATAATCTTAGTAAAATGGTGGTCATTTACTAAGATTTTTTCAGTGGACTTTTTGGAGGATCCCGAGAAGTTACGTTCAGCGGCTTTGTTTCATTTTCCCACATTTGTGCACTTTCACAGATATTAAACAGTTAATAAACCACCATTATTACACATTTAAACCTGAAGAAACACTAAATAGACAAAATAAAACAAACCACACAACTTCACTCCTCGCGCTCCCGCCAAAAAGTCCTCTGTCAGTTATCTATCAAATTGAGAATAGATTAAATATTGTTTTCTCTTTATTAATATTTGTCTAAAGTGTAGTCTTGACGAAATCTGTGATTAAAGAAGTATAATAGTCCTTGACAATAGAATCATAATAGTGTACAAACTTTTAATTTCCATTAGTTATAGTCGAATTTCGACTACCAGGGGATCTCTAGTTATAGATAATAACGCAAATAAATGGTTTAAGGGAAACGTGCTTTCCGTTTAGCAAAGAGGATTAATGACTGAAAATAAGAAGTGCATAACTGTAGACTTGAATAACTTTCTTTACTAGATATAGATTTATATTTAAATCTTTTAGCGTTAGTGCCATTATACGATAATGTTAAATGTTATTCTCTTCGTTCAACGTTCACGGTCTTTTTTGACGTGGTTTTTGTTCATAGTTGGTCAGATGAGCTCGTCAATCATCTGCAGTGAGGTTTCCAGAGACTTCTGAAATTTTGACGTAAAAAAAATGCCACCGTTCACCTTGTGACGTAGTTTTGAAATTATTGAAATTTCAACCTCATTAGAATAAGGATTCTATTACTGACACTGTTACGAGCTATATTATATTATATTGTGTGAGTACAACTCTAACTCCACACAAATAGGCAAAGGTGTTTAGTTAAAGATTGGCTGGCTAACGGAATAGGCATGCTTCATTTCTGTTGAGATTCATCGAATATAATAGTGAACGAGGTCGTTTGAAAAACCTTTTTAAAATTATATATCTAAAGCGTATAAGTGTAATAATAACTTTTCACTTTTTTTGTCACTAAAACTCTATGAGCTGTTTGCTGTTTTTATTTTATTATACAAATCCACGAGTAATATGCAAATAGCCGTGTCATCATCTATAAAAGTTGAAACAGTCGTCAAGCGTTTCTTTAAATGGTAGTCGTGAATCATTTATGTTAAAATATTATTTATATTACTTACCGGTACTCGAATAGAGCTCATTTGTAAAACAAATGAACGCTCATTAACTTAGTGATTGTAGTATTTTTGCATTAGCGCGTACGAACACTGTTGATATTGCAAAAAGTGCGCTTATAAGGTGATGAATTATTATAATTGCGTTAATGCTTAATGTAATGTCTTCCATTGAATACATCGCAAGCTCACATACATTCAAAGTTCAGATATTGAGTCTTGTTCGAACGAGTTTAAGTTAAGTTTCAATAAAAAAGTAAAATACCAACTTTTCGAATGTCTATTACTAATCCGCTTGAGTCGGTACAATAGCCTTTCTTTCATCGACGGCAGGCCATATGGTTAGCATTCACAAATCAAACTCAAATATTAGCAATGCCACCAGGACGGTGAAGCCATGTCCAAGTACGCCTGTGAAGAAATATTTTCAAAGCTTTATTTTAAATTAGAAAAGGGTTTTCCTTGAATCTATGGTACGTTTTGATTTGTAGAATAGTGTGTTAGCAAATATTTAATAAATAGTACTTGTAACTCAATGTAAATCAAATTCAATGTAATTTTGTATATAAATAAATAAATAAATGCAAGTCACAAAATGAACCAAAGAATCGGTTTAATTTTTAAGATCATTGTAATCAAGATCATGTCATATAAGTATCATTGTCATTACATACTTTTGACAAACAAACATCGTCAACATATCGTCAGAAGTTTAAACCACATCGAACAACAAAGCGGTTTCATCTATTTGATTATCCCATTAATGTGATTAACGTATGTCCAGCAAAGGTTACTTACTGTACAGATGTACTTGTGCGAGTATTCCATTATTTCTTGCGGATAATGAAATTTCTCTAGTGTTTATCAGTATATCAGCATTTAATTTCCTATTATTTAAGTGAACCCAGGTCATCGGAAATAACAGTTCGAGTATTGGAAACACAATAATCGGTAATAAATGAAATAAGATCGCTAGAACATCAATTCGTCAAAACATACCAATTAGACAAATATAGGTTTATGAGGTCAGCGTTTGAGTTCATTATCTTTGTGCCAATAAACAAAGATGTATTTTGTTTTTTGTTATTGATAATAATTATTGTGAAGTCGAGGTCGTTGGTCTTTAATTAGATAATTCTCATTTATATTGCATCAGGGCTAACGTCAACATGCATCGACTTTGGAGAATCTGTATTATTCGTACGCAGTTATTGCGTTATTCCATGATGTCGCACCGCACTCATCGCAATGAAACAAAGCCCCTTCATGTCTAATACAAACCTCAGCTTCTCGATAAAGTAACATTGTTTATATTCCGTTACTTCGCCCCCGGCCTTTTTGTTCTCGCATTACTCACGCTTTAGATAACATTAACGGCTCATGCCACGTGTTGTTTTTCCAGGTTACACGCATCACCAGCCTGTATTCATCACTGCCAACTATTCCGCCCTTTTGCGCGCTAAATGCCGCAATGCTAGACAAGGTCCATATTAATTATAAGAGAAAAGCTCAATATTATAAAAATAGAGAAAAGCATTGGCGTACTTGACAGCGACGGGATCAGGAGGAGAGCACCATGAGCCAGTCTATAGATGAGGCCCGAGCGGCTCGAATCCAAAAATATAAGGAGGAGAGAAGAAAACAACTAACGGCCCGAACAGCGACATTGTTCTCCGCAAACGTCACTGAAAGGTGATGATTTTTCCTAAAATAATTAGCAAAAAATTTGTGTAACGTAATTGCAACATTTTAATTTTATGTTCCAGACGCACGAAGCGATCAACGAATCGGGCCGCAGCTGAAGAATCTGCAGCTCATCTCAAGTCTTCCTCTGAACTGAACATAAACACAGTTTCAACTACAGTGCCTATTAGAACTACTCGTACTTCGCGTTTGAGAGCAGCAGCCACGAATAATGGCGAATTTTCACCTTCTCCTCGAAAATCTAACCGGAGCTCCTCTGTCCAATCGTTGCTCGAAGATTCTAAATCAAAATTACCTAAAAATTCCAAAATTATAGATAGGGATAAAAAGAATACAACACATAGAAGACAAAGTAGCGAAAAAGAAAATAAAAGTACGTTTGATAAAGAAATTGGTGCTATTAAAATGAAACCTAAACATTCCATGAGTAATTATATTTTAGAAAAAGACAGAATTAATGTTATATTGACCAGTCCAAAAAGCAAGAGTGCGCAAGAGAAGAATAAGTTAGATCATAATAGAAAGAATGTAAGCATTGAGAACAAGACAAAAGAAGTTTATGATGAGAAAAGTCCGTTACTGGTTAACGGTGATCTTCATATGAAATTCGAAAAAGAACACAAAATTTTTGATGATGATAAAATTGACGACCTGTTCAATAGTCTTGTTATTGATGACGTAGATAGACAAATCGAATTACGAATTAACAATGACGTCGTTGAAGAGGATTTAGGGCTCAAAAATAGTCACAATACTTTTACTCCTACCGCCGATAAAGCAATAGATGTTAATAATGTGAAAATAGAAGAAAGTGTAGTGCCAAAAGTGAAAGAGGACGTTGGGAGCTTGCTAGGAGCCGTGTGTGTACGGAAAGTGGAAAGGTTTAGTGAATTGCTCAGCAATTTGTGTTCACCATGCGAAGCTGATATTCTGTTCGAAGATATTTTGGTAGAGAATGGGATCAATGGAAGCAGTAGTATGGTGAGTAAATAATACATAATAAATACACCTATCCCCATACACGGTACCTATTTCACAGGATTTCGCTTTTATACGGTATATAAATGAGCTAAATTTGATAATTTATAAGAATACTATTTATAAGAATTATTTATGTTAATTTTGCAAATATGCAAGCATATAATTGTACTAGTAGGTACACATAATATATCGTTTAAACATTTTTTGGATCTTATTCATTTGGCAACATTAATGGCAATAACTTAGGACTCCCCGTATTGTGAAATGCAATATACATTTAGGGACATATGTATGTACCCATAATATGTACATACGTAAACGCAAAGTAGTATAGGATTCAATTGGTAAGTTATTTAAGATGATTTACATTTATTTAACTTATACAAAAGACTGAATTGAACGTATATTGAGAGTTTATTTCTTTTTACACGGTCTTATCTAAGAATTTATTTTACACGGTTTTGTGGGGAACCGTTCTTCGTTGTAAATAGAGGGATAATAATGCTGTTATAAGAGGCTGTTGTTCAAATTTCTTCTTATTGTAAATATGGTTGCAAAACTACATCGGCTACATCAAAAATTCATGTGGAATTATAGAAGCAAACATGTTTCAAATTTAACCATGGAACTCATTTATCAGTATAGTGTTATCGTGTAATGCAATGGGAGTTTGAGTAGAGATTTTTCTAAAATTACATTTAATGAACTGTTGAAAAATAAAATTAAACTGACAATGAATTGAATACGTTCGATCGATCCGTTTGGCAAGGTCATGCGGATTGGTAGCTGTTCACAAATACACCTTTAATGTTCTCAAACTAAACGAGTTATTGATGCTTACGATGTGTTATAAATTTAATCTGGTATGAGTGAAAATCTCAACAGGATATCCAATCAAAGGATTGACTGATACTTCGAATCAGCATGAATAAATTGCCACACTTCTTCCGAATTTATTTATTGCAACTGAACTACGGAATCTGCTAAAATCTCTTTATTGGAGACCCAACGAGACAGATGATAGTAAAAAAAGAGAAAATTTTCTACGAAAGATAATTTACGTGCTTTTCAAAAGGTATTTTTAACAAATGAATGCATGTCCTACATATGTGTGGCTTCGATGTACGATGAAGATTTAATAATGGTTTTTTTTTTCAATGCCTTCGAAAGCAGACGGCCATTGCATAGCTTCCGAAAAAGTGTGAAGTTTCAACAAATGGGTGAAGTTTCACTAAATTGCACACATTAAAACTCGAAGTAATTCATTTTGGAATTAAAAATGCAAATAACGAGTCGCATTACGAGTTTCTTCACCTGATTAATAATATGGACGTTTAACATTAGTATTCCTACTTTCTCCGCAGATGGCTAGTTGTTAATCCAGTCAGTCCTGTATATTTAAATTATGGTTGACTTGAATATTGCAATTTTAATTCTTATTTAAATTGTTAAAGTTCATCGAACTTACAAACTATTAAGGTGTTTGACTATAATCAAAATTAAAGCTATACATTGACCCGAGGATATTTAAACCTTTGAACGCTACACGTCTAAAACTTTCAGATAATGTAATAAACTTAATGAATAGGTGAATATTTTCACGTAATTTAATAATGATAACGAAGATACTGCTTATTGACACAGCACTCATTGCAAGGCACATTATAAATTCGTTGAATTTATTATTAAGTAGATAAATCGTGACACGCTTCACGTCGGCTATTTTTGGTGAATCAACAAACAGCGATTGATGAAATCATTTAGAAAATCAACAAAGTATTTATGAACTATGTTTTACAATACCTATAGTTATTGGAAACGATTAAATCGACATCTGTTAAAAGGATTCGGAGGCTTAACGAAATCAAAATTACAAAATATTCGTATTGCGCGGCCCTTATTAGTTTTTGCTAGGATTGAGTACTCGAGCTCTTGTCTTGAATAGCTTAAATATAATTTGACCAATTCAAGACCGTAGCTAGCTCCCTAGTGTAATGTAAGTTGTAATCGCTTCAGCTAAACCAAGTTCTGAGGCAAACTCTGGCGACTCGTATATCACAGAACTACCGTGTTATCACCTGTCTATGAATACATGCCATCCATACTAGTGATATTTTTTTTTCCTAACTAAGCTGATAGCCTTGATAGGCTATGTCAGCGTAACCGGATGAGTAGATGAGTTCACGGGGCTCAAACCGGAAGTGTTGCTAACACTGGCCCTAGCAAGAGCAGAATCTACTACTGGATCGGAAACGCGACCCACTGAGAAGATCCGGCGAGAAACTCAGTGGGCTGTATCTATGGGTTAATTTACTCGTGGAGCCCTTCGTCGCAAGCGACGGGTTCGGTGAGGACGGTGACCGGTGCTTGAAGTACCTAGAATCATACAAGTACCTTGAACCTTGCTAAGTACAACGTCTAGACAGACAGCTGTGAAAATGTATTCAATTTTGTCTTGAATGAACGAAAACTCGTCAAATAATTTTGTGTACAAATACTTTTCTGTTTTCATTACATTCTCTCTCTCTTTCTGGAATTTCGAATCTTAAAATTAGGAAGGTTTTTTTTAGTAGTAACCTTACTACTTGTAGCTCTTCAGTTCAAAATACTAACGCCTTAATATAATATCTATGAAATTACTCATTAAAATTTAGTAATGAAAATTGAAATTAGTCCCAGAAAATTCGTTGCCAGATTTAAATGAAAATTACGCTTCAAAATTCAAAGCACTGAAAATAATAATATATAGTTTGTGTCTAAAATAATAAACTGTGAATATAAATTAAATAATCATTATCCTAAGTCTAGACTGAACAAGGTTGAATTTACTATCGGATTGGTCCGAGGTATATCTTTTTGTAAATACGTTTTATTAGATTAGTTAGTTTGTACGGGCGATATTGCGCCATGAACCCACAACATACTGGTGCTAGATATATTAAATCCTGCACCATCATTCTGCCGTAAAGTGGTCATGCGTTTTTGCTTGAAGAATAGGGTAGTCGTTTCCCATAGGCAATTGCGTCCACTCAATTCTATTGCATTCAAACATAATTGCATCGCGACACAAGCGCACCGACCGGTACATGACGTGACCTTGTTGGATTTTTTATAACCCCATTAACCCCATACTCAAGCGGAGATAGAGAGTTAGTGAGGAATTTGGCAGGAATATAATCTGAATACATTTTGATGGATGATTGAAGTGGCTGGGATTATATACCGGCGTCTCAAAATCATACATTAAATAAGTAAGAAATTCTAACAAATACTTGACAGGCGCAATATTGAATATGCATTTTCCATTTTCGAAATCTATTCTACTCTAATTTTCATTATCGGTAAGAGAATTGCATTTTGTTCATACAAGTCAATTAAATTTTATAATATTCGTCGTCTTGGTAAAATAGAAGTCGTCGTGGCCTAAAGGATAAGACGTCCGGTGCATTCGTGTTGAAGCGATGCACCGGTGTTCGAATCCCGCAGGCGGGTACCAATTTTTCTAATGAAATACGTACTCAACAAATGTTCACGATTGACTTCCACGGTGAAGGAATAACATCGTGTAATAAAAATCAAACCCGCAAAATTATAATTTGGGTAATCACTGGTGGTAGGACCTCTTATGAGTCCGCGCGGGTAGGTACCACCACCCTGCCTGTTTCTGCCGTGAAGCAGTAATGCGTTTCGGTTTGAAGGGTAGTACAGCCGTTGTAACTATACTTGAGACCTTAGAACTTATATCTCAAGGTGGGTGGCGCATTTACGTTGTAGATGTCTATGGGCTCCAGTAACCACTGAACACCAGGCGGGCTGTTAGCTCGTCCATTCATCTAACCAATAAGTAAAAATTATTTTTTCACTGTGAAATAAATACATTCCATCAACAGTTCCATCAGACAAACAATAAATCAATAAAACGCCTTACACGAATTCGTACACGTACATTTTTTTAATTTAAAATCTATCACAATGTATTTGCTTCATGATAATTATAATCATCCGATCAAATGGGGCTTACTATTCGTTGTTTGTTAAAAAAGCCTCCGATATTTTCATGTTATAAACCTACGTTCCGCCTACGCTTTTCCTAAATATTTCCACCCATTAAGTTTGTAAGATAAAACAATATCGCGCCATAATAGAAGTGTGAGCTTTAGAGGTAGTCACGAAAGAAGTAGGCGTTTTGTAATAAATTCAGTTCAGTCCAGTGATCCCCAAAGTGGTTCGGTTGGACCCCCGTTGTCGATATGAATCCTTTAGTGAGAGTACATAATCGATAAACAACATCGTGATTCAACGGGAGTGGACGAAAAAATACATTACAGACACACAAATACATAATTGTCTTTGATATACGGTTAATAAGTAGCGTTAAACAATACAAGTCTGTGCATATAAACAAAGATATCCGAATAAGAGAAGAACACTCTTAAAAACGTCCTTCATGGTTACAAAAACTTGGGGATCTTAAGTGTTATTACTAGACTAATATTAAATCTGGTACTGGATATTAATTATGTTTCAAACTTATTTAAGTATCGGATAGCTTTTATTAGATTTGTAAACCGTAATTATTGGCGGTAGGTACATAGTATTATGAGCTCGGTTAGGCATCTATCACTATCCTGTCCATTGATGTTCATTCTGGTTTGAAGAGGTTATCCTTTACGTTTATCTATGATTTTATCATTCAATACTAGTTGGGCCGTGAGCTCGCATATACCCATCTAGATTTTAAAAGATTCCATATTTTTTTTGATTATCCTTGTAGCCAGACGAGCTTATGCTCGACCTGATGGTGAGTTGTTACCGTCACTAATGGATATCAGCAATGCCAGGGAAGCAAGCCACTGCCTACCGCTATAATTCCTACATAGTAACAATCTTTTGATAATTTAATCCACAAAGCGCCTGTTGTAATATAATAAGCCGCGTGTTGCGCTCCTGATGATTGCATTCGAATTGCCTCGAGTGAGCTCAGATAATTTTTTACAACT